TTAGTAATCATCTGCTTCCTCCATATCTCAAATCAACTATTATAACATTATTAAATTTAACAAATTTTAAAAATCTGAAATGCTTATTCCACCAGCAGTTCAATAAAGTATTATATCATAATCAAGGTTATAAATGTTCATATATATATCTTCTTTTTGATGAAACTTTTAATCACTTCTTTTATGTAATTATGATATTTCTATGTCTTGAGGATGTCAAAGTTACACGTGTTTTCAGGTTTTAAATTCAATGTAGTTACCCAGATTTTCCATTCAGCAAATATCAGCTAAGGGTTTATGATTACCTTTCTGCCAGGATTATGACACACAAAGTATGGGAGAAGATAACCAGTTAACAGTAATTGTAACAAATAAAACTAAATGCATCTATCATATATAAGGAGTTAATAAAAGAGACTTTTAGGAAGTATAAAAAAGGAAATAATTTCTGTGATGGTAGTAGGGAAGTGGGATTGAGTTAGGAAGGAGAGTTCATAATTTGTCTTAGTATGGATTCTGAATAAATGACTTTAACTTTTGACTTAACAGTCAAAGCTTTAACAACAATAATGTCACCTCATGTTTATGACTATTACTGTGCCCACATGTACTATTTTCATATAGATATGTTCTAAGAACAACAAAAAATATTTAAAAGGGGTTATAAAAATTTTACATTGTCTATAATTGCCAAATAACCTGTACAATATATTTAAGACAATTTGCAATTGTTTGAGTGAAAAAAAAATAAGATAAAAATAACAACACTGCCACATAGACAAAGTAAGTATACTGACAGAGAACAAAACCAGGCATGCAGCAAGAACATATTTACCAAGAAGTTATACAAGTAAAACATAAATTTATCTAACAGATTTTTGTCATTCCATGTAGAGAGGAAACATGATCACATAGTTCTTAAACAGAAGAAAAGGATCAGTTTTTCAACAGAATCTCAATACTTCCTAAAAACTAAGACTAAAAAAAAAAAAAGTTTACCAAAAGTGAAAATAGAGAAAATACTGCAGTGCAATGAACATTATACTTAACGGTATTGTGACATAAATACAGTGAGTAACACCATAAACTATATCTTATAGGTTTTCTCAATTTAGGCCAGGGGGAACTGACCAAACACAATTTAATAAAATCAATTATCTGACACGATTAACATGATCTGTTCCATGTAAACAGCTCTCAGATCAACTGGTTTAATCCAGAGGGAAATTTTAGATTACTCTTACCCTAAATATGTAAGATTTCATATCCTTCAGGAAATCCATAATCAACAATATTTTCCCAGTTGAGCTTTTGATTTATATTGGATAATAGTGAGTTCAATATTATACTCTCTGAAAAGCATTTAATTACAGCTATACTATGCTGCCATTTACATGTAGAGCTATTTGCTTTAATAAATAATCAAACCGATAATATGTATTAGGGTGACTAGAGCAAGGAACAATATAGCATATATTTCTAAATAGCTAGAAGAGAAGTTTTGAATGTTCTCACCACAAAGAAATAATAGATGATCAAGTACTTACAAATATGGTAAGTACCCTGATTTGATCATCATACAATGTTTACATGCATTAAACATCACACTGTACCCCATAAATATGTACAAGTGTTATCAATTACAAATAAAAATAATTTAAAAATCAATATTATGTTTGACATCCTAAGAAAAAGTGAGAAATCTAATAAGATTTAAAAGTTCAAAATCAAAATATTGTTCATACTTACAAATTTTCTGGAGGAGGAGGAAGGGGGAATAGAAACACATCACTATTGGATCTCTAATGTTTCCTATGTCGTACAAAATTTATGCAAGCAGTTGTGATAGAAGAGTCAGGAAAGGGAATAAATATTTATTGAGTGCCTTCTAATCATTATTTTAAAAAATACTTATTAGCTATTTGTTTATAAGTTGTCAGGTGATGGGAAATTAACAGAAAAATAAGTTATTACATCTGAGCATCCAAATATATGAATGTTTGACTGAGGCCATTTTAAATGAAAATTCTGGTCTTAAATTAAAAGTTGTTGATGGTAGAAACAGTCTTTGGCAGAGGAGTTAACAGATAACTGTATTCAATAGAAATTTTACTTTTTGTGATTATTGCTGATGGCAACAGAACCTAACAAAACATAAAATAGGAGAACCTTAAACCAAAGAAATACAATATTACCTCTGTATACTGGCTATGATTGATAGTTAATATGACAAGATTTTAGCTTCATTGGTTACTAGCTGGAAGATGTTTCTCTCCTTTTTGTTGGACGAAAGGGAGAAAGAAAGGGTCCACTTAAGCGGAGAATGGGACTTTAAGGTATTGGTTAGTGTATTTATAAAAGCAAACTAACTAAAGGCACCAAGCCAATGAACCAAATTTACCACTTGTAGTTCTAATTTTATGCAAGTTAGAAAGTACCCAAATGCCATGATGTTTCTTGAAGGAGACTATGAAATATTGCTATATTAAACTAAAAACAACTGGGTATAAATTCTTTGTTAAATCAAATAACATCTTATATTAAATTCTACTATAGAGAAGTATAAAATAAAATTTTTAAATATAAGAAAACATTTACTATTAAGAGGATTTATTCATTATTTTTTCTGCTACATTGGGAAAAGTCTGTCACCATTAGAGGATATATTGAAGAGAACATAAAAACTGAGCAGGTTACCCAGGACTGTAAGAAAGATTATAAGAAAACAATCTATGGATCAGCTAGAATGGTTATATTATTTGGAAAGAAGACAACTCAGGGTGATTTTTTTTTTTAAAGTATCTATTGATGTTAAATTTGTATTGAAACACTTTTCTTTCCTGTTATATGAGTTACATTGCTCCTCTTTGCTGTGTCAACTAATGTACTGAAGGACTGAAACAGAGTTCTGTGCTTGAGAGCAATGCTGATTTATTCCTTAGGTTTCTATAGTAACTTAAATAGATTAAGCAAGAGACATGTCAGTTGTTATCATAAATGGCAACATGTAAAAAGTAGGCCTGGGAGACATGATTATTGGTAGAGAATATACTGGCAGATCACAGAGTTGTTTGTTTCTAAATCCAGTGGCTTTTTCTATGTTATGCCATCATATATTAATTAATACATTGTGATTCATTCACATATAAAGATTGAATGGAATGTCTCTTCCTAAAGGTAAAGGATTTCTTGATTTAAAAAGTTTAAACTGCAGAACAATTGACAGAAAAAAAAATACTTAATAATATAGTATTAATTTGTGTGACAATACATTCTAATTATTCATGGTAGCTTCTGAATCACAGAAGATTTTCTAGCTCCTGTTGAGCATAACAAGTCTTCACCTCTATCCCCAGAAGCAGATATCTTGCAAACTAGCACAGCAACATGTTCCATATCTATTCAATTCAACATGCACTAATAATTTTAGAGAAAAAAGCCTGCCTATTCAAGGAAGATACTGACACACAAAGACATACAACTCCAATATTTTTTAAAAAGTCACTTGGAATCAGTTAAATATTGTTATTTCTTTACATTTTAGTAACTTATTTTTTCGTACTTCCGGGGGATTGATCTTTTCAGTAAGAAGGGACAGATACGTCCCAATATTAGAAGAGTTTTGTTTCATACCTAGGGCATTTGAGCATCAGGCATTGTGGTTGACATCCCTAGAGAGAGCAATTGGAGGCAGAAGGTTGCCTGTAGCAGGATGAGCAGGAGATGAAGGACTTAGGCCTTGTACAGGGATGTATGGAAACAAAGTTTTCAAAATCTTTAAACCTAGTGAGAGCAAATTATATTGGCTTTGACAGACAAAAGTTCTCAGTTGATTATGACAAGAGTAAAACTGTCATAGTGATGCCGAAAAAAAAGGGGGAGGGAAACATTTTTTAAATTAAAAATCTAGCTGAGTTTGAAGTAGAAAAGCAAAATTTTTCATCTGTCTGCACTGTCGCTTTCTATGCATGTGAAAATATATTTATTATTTTCTAAATTAATTTAATGAGTTCCAGATCATACAGGATGTCATAATGGAAACAGGATTATACAAGATAATAAGGAGTTTTGTTCTCTAAATGAGTTTTACCTAGATTCCCTGTGTTGTCCTTTTGATCTGAACTGTGTTTCATTTACCACATCGAAGAAGGTTACATAAAGGGTAAAATAATAGAAACTTAATCAGGAAACAGGTCTTTCTATTGCTGAATTTTATTGTATACTCTTGCCATATTCCGTAGCCTAATTCTTGAAAATAATAAAAGATGTGTCATTTTAAAATAAGGACAATTGAAACCATATTGCATTATAGTTATACATCTTTCTCCTGAGCCATCCCAAACATTTCACACCAACTGATCTTTAGAACAAACTTGTGGATCATTTAGGAGTTACTGGTGGGAAAAATAAACTTCCTAAACTCTACCTTCTGTAAAATGCTACAAAAATATTATTGGTTAGTGAATTTAATTTTACAGATCAAAAACAAATACAAAGAGCAAATAATTTCTCAGAAACAGATACTTGTTTCCAAAAGCCCAGGCCAATAACTCTTGTACTAGAAAATAGTTCAATACAAACGGGTCCCATTAGTCAGAGCACAAAGTTTTACAGTGAAAATAACTTCTTGTAGAGTACTATGATGGCATATAAAGATGTATAGTTATACTGCACACATGACTGATTTTGTAAATGTAATGCCATTTTCTGGTAGACAAATCTCTGTATATGCTTTATATAATCCATACCAAAAACATACTCTATTTAGGTAGGCATTTGAGTTCTGTAACTTTACATCCTTGACATTTCTGCCATCCTCAATCAATTTGAAAACAACTTCCAACTTGGCAACAATTCATCTCCTGAATTTCCAAATAAATACCACAGAAATTTGAGATTACGTCTCTAACATTTTCTCAATTCATTTCCTCATCACTGGCCAGATAATCATCATGGCCACGGCCTCGAAGAGAGAATTATCTATGGAGTAGAAAATAGTAGCACGTTCCTGGAATGCAGTCCAAAGTCACAGCGAGCGTTGGTCTATTGGCAATTCCAGAGGCGAAATGAAGAGCGAAAAGAAGAGGTACAGGAATGAAATTGACTGGATTATTTCTATCTAACATATACTATTAAGTGACCCCAGCATTATTGACTTAAAGGAAGAAAAAGTACTGAGAACCCTATCCTTATTCTTTTCTAAACCAATCGATAGCTCATTCATTAAGCAAGTATTCATTGCAGCTGACTGCATGACCCGCTTTGTGGGTCACAAAGGTGACCTGGTGAGAGTCTCTGTCCTAGAAGCAGTTTGGGGATATGTTTTAGAGTCCCTTTATTTCTTACCACGGCTATCTACAAATCAAATACATTGTCTATTTTTGTGCACAACTAAAAAAATAGCAAATCCGTCTACTCATTTTAATTTTTGTTCAATTAATTTTGCTATCCAAGCCTGTTTTTCTTTCTCCATTAACTTTCTCCTCCAATGGGAGGGGGGAGGTCGGGAGAGGGAGTAGTAAATTTAGGGTGAAGGACCTGAGGTCACAGTACCAACTCTGATATAAACTATTGATGTAGCATCAGGCATATCTTCCTTCTCAGTGGATCCATTTGTTCCTCTGTAAACGTCAAGAAATGTATACAGAAAATCTTAGTGAGTACTCTGATCCCTTAAAGCTTTTTAAAAGCATTAAATATGGGTAACCAGACTATTTTGTTGATTAGTAAAATATATTATGTGTGGACAATTTTATAAACAATATGAATATAAAGGTGAAATTCCTCTCCATTATCTTTTTGTATATTTTAAGCAGCCCTTAAACTATATAATTACCTCGTACAAATGCCAAGATTGATTTTATACATTACCAAGGTAGGCTTTTCAAGATCTCTATCATGAACTGTATTCAAAATAAAAGTGAGATTAAAAATATTCAAGAGCATCTCCTCATATATATGTCTCTAGAAAATTGAATAAATTATTATTAAGCATGAAAGCCCATATTTTTGTCTGCTTGTTCAACTACTGTTTGTTTTATTTCATTTTTTGAAATATTCTTATAAATTCATTCTAATGTTGCATTGTTCTCTGGTATCATGGTTCTGTATTCCAAGTTCAATATTTAACATTAGCCTTCTCCCATATTTTTATACCCAGTTTCAAATTTATGAAATAAAGTATATCTTCGTTCTTTCCTCCAGCTATCTTTTTTTGTTTGTTTGAGACAGGGTCTCACGCTGTTGCCCAGGCTAGAGTGCAGTGGCATCAGCACAGCTCACTGCAACCTCAAACTTTTGGGCTCAAGCGGTTTTCCTGCCTCAGCCTCTGGAGTAGCGGGGACTACAGGCGCATGCCACCATGTCCAGCTAATTTTTTTTTCTATTTTTTGTAGAGACAGGGGTCCCACTCGTGCTCAGGGTGGTCTCAACTCCTGACTGCAAGCGATCCCACCTTGGCCTCCCAAAGTGCTAGGATTATAGGCATGAGCCATTGTGCTGGACCCTCCAGTTACCTTGAATAGTTAAAATCATTATAATAAGAAATTCTATTAAACAGTAGTGTTACCCAATGCATCTTAAAGTTAATGGGCAAATCTTATACCTCCTTTTTCCTGATAGGAAAATACTATCATTTATCTTAAAGTAAGAACGTTAATAACTTTTAAAATGTGGATCAACACATAATCTAAATTTTTATTGACACAGAGTTTCAGATTTTATACCGCTTTTAAATATGTCTATTTTATATTGCTTTATTCCCCCCTGCTAGATCAGAGTGGATGATCATATCATCAGGACAGAACAAGGACTTCTGCTGCGTAGCCTGCAGCGGAAGGATTCGGGCAATTACCTCTGTCACGCCGTGGAACACGGGTTCATGCAAACTCTTCTTAAAGTGACCCTGGAAGTCATAGACACAGAGCATTTGGAAGAACTTCTTCATAAAGATGATGATGGAGATGTCTCTAAGACCAAAGAAATGTCCAACAGTATGACACCTAGCCAGAAGGTCTGGTACAGAGACTTCATGCAGCTCATCAACCACCCTAACCTGAACACGATGGATGAGTTCTGTGAACAAGTTTGGAAAAGGGACCGAAAACAACGTCGACAAAGGCCAGGGCATACCCAAGGGAACAGTAACAAGTGGAAGCACTTACAAGAAAATAAGAAAGGTAGAAACAGGAGGACCCACGAATTTGAGAGGGCACCGAGGAGTGTCTGAGCTGCATTACCTCTAGAAACCTCAAGCAAGTGGAAACTTGCCTAGACAATAACTGGAAAAAATGCAATATACATGAACTTTTTTCATGGCATTATGTGGATGTTTACAATGGTGGGAAATTCAACTGAGTTCCACCAATTATAAATTAAATCCATGAGTAACTTTCCTAACAGGCTTTCTTCCTAACACCACCGCCTAACAGAGATCACAGGTGATGCAGATGTTCACTTTAGCAGACTTAAATGTTTCCTCTGAGATTTCATTGTACAGGTTTCTCTTTGTTCTTTGCCTGAGAAATAAAAATGGCATTTGCGATACTGCCATCTAAAGGAGAAAAACTGCATCAGCAAAGCCATTTTATTGAACTAAAAGTTTAAAATAAACTGCATGGATTTACTAAGCTGATGAATATTCCAAAACGTGGTTGGATTCAAAGATATTTTTTGTCTGCCAGCCCTTGTGTATGTACTGGAGGAGTAAAATGAGTAAAATGATACTGAATGAAATGGTCTGTGGAAATATTAAAAACATAAACCATCCATCATGCAGAAGAAAAATAGAATACATTGATCTACTACTGATGTCTTCTTTCAGCTTTGATCTAAAGATGTATTTTATTAAAACTATAATTTAAATGTACCATGACAAATATGCAGTGAAAATTAGTTGTTTTCTAAGCTAGAGTAGGTTTTTGTCTTACAATTATTGTGCTATATAGTTTTTGTTTTAAAAATTCCAATTGTGTGCTGCTTTTTTTTTGTTTTTGACATTTTATTTTCAGTTCTGTAAGAGGGGTAGCTGATATTATTCCAGAAACATATGTACATCATTAACAGTGAATTTCTAAAACCAGAATATAAAATATGCTCTATTTCTCTGAGTAAATCAAACAAATGGAAGCTGTTCACACCTCCCGTTCTTTAAGTATTATCTAAATTAATTTTAACCTGCATAATGTTCTCAGAGAAACAGAGCGTTTAACCAACAAAAAAGGGAGAAACAAATTGATTTTTATTATATCTAAAGGATCAATGAAGAGAAAAGGAACTGCGTTTCTCATGAAAATAAGAAACATAGTCTTAATATAGTCTTAATAGAAATATCTAATTCTGTATTTGAATCCCTGCATAATATTTGAGACATAAAATCTTTCTCATGATTCCACTAGGAATTATATCTGTGTCATTTAATATTTTTTGAAAAGAGAGAGAGATCAATAATATTCAGAGCAACATCTTAAAGGCAAATTTCCCAACCGTTCACATCTGTATCAGCTGCCTTTTATCTTGTTTAAGACAATTATCTGTACAAGGTACACATGACTCTTTTCAGGTCGCTGGGAATGACTTTTATACAAACTGTTTTCCAGGATGCAACCCACATTTGAAAGATGTTAAAACTTTTGTTTCCTGCACCAACTTACAAAATAAGGTAAATGATTTATAATTAAGGATTTGACTCCTTTATTGTCTTAAAACAATTTGTTGAGAATCATTGACTTCAAGATAGGTAAGACTTTCAACATTATAATATGGTTTCTTTTGCACTGCACTCACCTTTTCAGGAATCCTTTCCTAGGTCCTTCATCATGCACAAAAATGCAAAAAAAAAAAAAAGTCTTATAACTAATTAATGAAGCAACATTGAAATTCTAACTCTAGCTGTCTTGGGATTCTAATTAACTCAGTATTAATTTCTCACTTCAGACTACAGTGAATTTTTATTCCCTATCAGCTGAAATATTTCACAGATGGAAGCTCATGTTTCAGTTTTAATGATGACTTTCAATAAACAATTTGTTGCCACTTGTTTCAAATAAAAGCCTAAAAATAATCTACATTCAATTTTAAGCTCCATTGACTAATATGGTGTTGCTTTTGGAAGTACTATACAACTCAAATATAAGCTGCGTTGTTAAATTATTTGAAGGACACACGCCTGAACAGAAAATTGTGTTTGAAATACAAATCAAAGAACAAAGAGTGCTTCAGAAATAGGCCATACTTTTATTTTCATGGAGTATCTTAACTGTATTGAAATTCAGTGTTGCATTTCATTCTAAATTTGCAGCTGAAAGAAATTTGTTTGCAATAGCAGAAGTATCTTATTTCTTACTAGCACTCAAAAAAAAAAAAAAAAAAGGATTTGAAAGGATAGCAATTGTATGATAACTTCATGAATGCCTTCCAAAATCTGAATGCATTTTATTTAGCATTATGTAATGCCAATAGAAAAAAAAGTCTAGACTTTAATTAAAAGTTGCAAAAAAGGACAAATCTACTGGCATGTCTTAATATGTCATCAGGTCTAAGTTTTTGAAGAAAATGATAACTTAGAGATAAATAACTCTTATTGCAGTCATAATCTTCTGCCAATGTGTATTGAGAGGGGGCAATTTGCACGAAAATGAATATCCCACTTAATAATTCAGTTTTAATAGACTTTGGCATATGCATGTGTCATCCGAGATGAAACTTTGTTTAAGAGACTGGTGACCTTAAGTAAATTATAGCAGCAGTCTTAAGGTATGAAAAAGATGCATCACAGCAGAGAAATTATAGCCCAGTTGAAATCAAATGTAAAATGTAAACGCATGTAAATGCACACTTAATGCTTTTTTAATGTATTATTTAGTGATTTTCAGTGGTATGTGTTTAATATTTTTGCTACCTACACATTAGGCAAAAGAGATGTAAATACTTTGAAAAAAGAAGAACAGTGTAAAATAAAACTTTCTGCAGGTACTCCATTTCAATGTGTTCAACGTCATCCTAAAATGCAAGATTTTCCCACACAGGTGACAAGGTGGTTTATGTACTATTTAAGGGCAGAAGTTATGTGCCCAATAAATAAGCATGTTTTTGCCAGGTAGGAAATATGTTCCATATCTGTATTTATCATTGCATTTCAGATGGGAACTAGAAAATTGGAGAGAAACATGTAATGAAACTGCTGCTGTAAATTATTTCTTTTAGCATGTATTCAGTTGCTAAATACACATTTCTTCAAAATATTTGAATTCAGATGTCTTTACTGTTCCCTCTAACATATGGTATTAAGGAACATAAGCTTAGAAAATGTTGAGCACCAGAGTCAGGTTGCTTTATAATTAGCTAACAGATTTCTTCATTGTAGTCATCTGTAAACTGAATTCTATATTTATGGTAATGATGTGAATTTTTACACACTTTAAATTAAATATTGTTCTCTATAATGTCATACCTGAAAAGGAAATGTGGGGATAAAATTCTATAATGTGTCATTATCATAATCAGTTTGGTTTTATTCAAGATCTACAAAGATGCCAGATGATTGTTATTGAGATTGCCTATCCTGAAGGTCACAGGCAAGCGTTTTATTAATATGGAGCCAATAGTATAACATTTTGAAATCTTTGTTTTATGAATTACTTTTTTAAACACAATTTGTATTCAATTTAATGAAACTCTATCAGGTTTCATGGTTTCAAAGATACACTTAACAAATAGGATTCAACGTCACCTTATTGTGTAATAACGTGTTAGATATAAACTGGCCTAAGGCCAAAGACACCTATGGTTTTTTTTTAACTTTGTGATAATTACTTAAAGTCAATGTTAATGTTTGCAAAATACATGTTTCCATAAAGAAGAAAATATTATTTTTCAAAAAGCCTGCAAAATCTGATTAGTTTGTTTGATTTCGAATGGTTTTCTTATACTAGTTAATTAAAGAAGCGTATTTTTTTACGTTAGTAAGTTAAGGGGATCTCTAAATCAAAAAGACAATAAAGCAGCAGAAATGGTGCCTCATACAGTAAGGACATTTTCACAATCAACCCCACCAATGAAAACAGATTCTTTTCAAACATGCAGGCACACACAGGCAGAGGCAAATATTGAAACAAACCAAATAATAATAAAAATAATAATTTTGAATATAAAGAAATTAGGCTTCTAGACACATTACCCTTTAGAACCAGATTCCTACCTATTCAGGTGAATTCCACTGATAGATTTTGACTATCTACTCTGTGCTAGGCACTATGTTAGCAGATGAGGATACTAAGATGAGTAAGACATAACCCCGGTCCTCGAAGAGTTCACAATGAAATGAAAGAAACAGAGAGTGACATGACTTTCTATCATCTTATCCAGCAAGTCTTTCTTGATCCTCCCATCCTTAGGTCAAGCTAACCACCTTCTCTGTGCTAAATCTGTGCCTTGTATATACTTTTAATTGCCACACTTACCACAGTGGTGTGATTTATTTGTTTATAGCCCCATCTCCATTTCCAGACTGTGAGCTCCTTGAGGACAGGGTTTATATCGAATTTATTAATATCTCTGTCTCCTGTGCCTAGCATGATGCCTGGCACAAAGAAGGAGCTCAATAAATCATTGCTGAAATGAAAAAGGTCACAATGTGATAAGTGCCAAATGCAAGCTCACAAAAGTTCTATCGGAACAAAGAGGAAGGAAGAACTAATTTGTGGCAAGAGCTCATAGAGTGCATCAAAGAAGTGACCTGAGAGCTGCGAATTGAATTATTAGTCGCCTAAATGAAGAGTAGGGTAGAAGAAATAAGAAAGGAAGAGAGGTATGAAAAAATGCTTTTTTTCTGAGAACAAGTATTCCAAACAGATAAAGCACAGGGTTCATAAAGAAAAGTTAAATGTCCCACTACTATGAGTTAAAATGGTGCATTTGTCTGGTTTTTTCCTGGATTTTGATTTATTGCTCTCTATTTGTACCCCACATTCTCTTTCCTGTCACATGGTGTCACATGTCATCCCCTCTGCCTCCTACACCCCCCACCAATCTCGTTAACTTCCCTCTTCATGTTGACCTCATTTATCTTTACCCAGCTAAATTCATAGCACTGGGCAGTGTTCCCACAACCACCTTCAAACCAATCTTTACTCCATAGTCTCTTCTCTAGTCCAAACCACCATGCTTCAGCTAGAATTTGAAATTCTGCAGACAAAGGTTTGGGAGAAGCTAGCCTCTTCAGGTTGACTC